TTTTTCTGCGACCCACACTTTGGGAAACGCTGCGTTAGCCCAATGACACAATTTACCCAAAAGGGATATTCATTTCGTTTTGACATTCTGCGTCGATTCACTTCGAAAACTGTTGAAAATAAAATCATCATGTGATCTCTGGCGATCGTGCGCTTGCAATCGTCTGACACCTTCTTCCTGGCAAGTCTTGCGATATATGTTTATGTAAATAAATATTTAGAATTCGGAATGTAACGGATATTTTTGGTTACTAGGTTAGTATTCTTTATTCTTTTTCTCAGATTACCTAATTAATTATATTTGGATTATACAGTCTAATATGTTTATGCAGGAGATGTATTGTGAATAAAAATAATAAAAAATTGGATATTATTGGACCTGGTCTTTATTAAGTGCGCTGTTAAATCTTCTTTCTTCTGTTTTCAAAGGTAGGTCTCCAGAGGGCATGCACATTTTAAACAGTGTTCTTTATAGTTACATAAAACTCTCGATATGACAGTTGTGACATTACATGAGGCCAGGCATTTTCTTATAATTTTTTTTAAAATTATATCAAAACCCCTTATTTTTCCTAAGGGATAAATTTTATTGTCTTATAGATTTCTTTTAGTTTTTACTAAAAAGAGGGGTAAATTTACGATCTGATTCTCGATAATTAGTGATTTGACGTACTTGATGTATTGGGATTCCTAATTCTGCGATTTGTTATGTATAGATTCAATTTTTATAGTGCAAGGAAGTCTTTTAATGACCACTTTTATCGGTTTATACGAATTTAATAAATAAGTATGGACCGGCATTCCTTCTGACTGGAGCGTTTTTGTTATCGTGCGATAGTCATCGATGGAGTAAGCACATATATTTAGTGTATCACTTTTCATATTGACTTTTTCGATGCCTCATTGCTTTTCGATTCTGTCTTTGAGCTGGTCCCATTCGCAGCTAAAATCAGCGAGAACAATTGGGAGGTATATGTCCGGCGGTTTTCTTGGGTGTAATGAATTTAACATCTGAATTCCACTTCGTAATTATCAGTCAGTTCTGCGATTTTTTTTCGCAAGTTCTACAATATTAGTATTAGAGCGTGTACGCTTTAATGTATTTCTGGACGTAATAAAACCATTCTCGTCAGAGGTGAATTTCTTTTTCTTGATATTTTTGTTAGAGCTTCGTTTAATTCTTGGATTCTCCTGATTTTGTAACTGTAGCTGAATTGCATTTAATTGATTAGTTAGTTCGTCAATTTCTTCAGTTACTACTTTAGATTTTAATCCTGAAGTTGTTACATTTTTTCCTATTATATATATAGATAGACAGATATAGATATAGATATATAATACGAATAATAAGATATGCCAATTAAAGAAACTCTATCTGACCCATATTCTGAATATGGCTTCGGCCTTATAAACGACAATTTTTAAAAGGATAATCAACAATTTATAACTAATCATAGTGAATGTATAAATCAACAATATTTATGAAAAAGGAAATAAAAACAAAATCCAGCTAAAACTTCAAGAAAAATTCAAAATAATATTATATAATCTCAAAAACGCAGCTTTGAAGAATTCAATAAATAAAGATACTGCAAATAAATCAGAAAAAATTTTATGTTAATTAAAAACTGTTACACGCAAAAGAAAAAAGAGCTAACATTTGATAAATCACTCAAGTTCTACCGGCTATTAGACCTGCTGACGCTCAAACTGATTGTTATAATTATATAGATAATTTTTCTTCTCGGAATAATAGTCTTACGATAAATCTAATATCACCCTCCAAAAATACTACAACAACTCATTACAACGTACAGTCATATAAGGAAAATCATTTAACTCAAGACTTCACTCAAGAATTTATCCCGACTTTCATTAATTCAAGACCAGACTATCAAATTCAAAACCAGGCTAATAACTCTAAAGAATTTATTCGGACTTCCATTAATTCAAAACCAGACTTCAAAGTTATTGTAAACAGAAAGGATAAGAAAAAACTTTTCTCAGCTTTATTAATCTTCACAAAAGGGGATAGTACCAATCAAAAGCTCTTTGATAACCTAAACAAATATATTCCTATTAATAAACTACAAATTAATACTGTTGCGTGCATACGGGTTCGTGATAAATTGACTGCACAAGTCCGATGAAAAGTGAATAAAATTTATTCTTATCACAACAAATAAAAACAAAATACTTAAATTTGCTTAGAAATATTCGTACAGTATCTCAAAATCTCACAGTAGTTATCTATCGAACTACTAAGACATTCAACAGAACTTAATTCCAAAATACAGAAAGCTAATCCGATTTCACTGCGAATTCGCTACAGTAAACAACAACAGTTTTCTAGAACAACTAAATTGGGGTGTTTTCCTCCAGCTTTCATAAGCTTTTTAAATCAGAAAACGAGAAACTTCTCGTATTTTCTCAATTCTTCTGGATACCAAAACAGTATAATTACGAGATATCTATTATTTAAAATGTTAGATGCGTGTACTCCATTATTTTAATTTTTCTGGCTTAGCTTTCTCTTCTACTTGTGTACCTAATCCTTCCCTGGTCTTCTGAGGTGTATCTGTGCTTGTATTTAAATGAAAGTTCGTTTGAGGTTATCTCTAGAGTTTAGGAGTTATTGCACCGAGATTTACGTGTTCTTAGGATACTCAGTGAATATAGTATTTTTTGAATGAGAGATAGCCTTTGTACAATGAAAACCTTTGTAATCATTTTCAAATCCCATTCTCGTATTGAAAAATAATCTTTTGTTTTTATACCAGAACACTAGGGAAAATATTATCTATTTTCTGTGTGACTTAAAGAGTTTCAGCTTTGAAGTAATATAATTTACTTTACAAAGATGATCATATATGTTGTACCTCTCACATATAGCGAGGATAAGTCTGGCAACAGCTGCAGGAAGAAAAACTTGGCAGTGCTGGAGTGACAACAGCGGATGATATTCTATAGATTTTAATTTTGATTTTGAGTCGATGTTCTTTTGCGTCTTTTGCGATACTATTGCGTAACAAAATTTGAGTTTTGGGTGAATTAAATGTAATCCGCTGAATATTAGTAAAATATATTTAGAAAATTAGCTGCGTTGAAAAGGATGAAACTCTTGTATTTGAATTTGCGGTATTTTACCTCCTAAAGTTACATTGAGTTCAGAATATTATGCCAGGCTTATTCACGCTGGTGCAGATAAGTTTAAATTTTTGTTATTGTGTTATAGTGTATAAATTGCAAACATATGAATAGAATTTTATAAAATAAGCATTTAAAATTCTGGAATGGTGTTTAAAATTTTAGATGTAGAGTATTCACATTGCTATGTCGGAGCCAGTGGCAGTCAGGTGTAAAGTAAAATTGTTTTGCTCCACGACATAACAATATATGTGATTTGGTTTATCTTCAATCACCAATCTCTAGATTTAGGTAATATATAAATTTAATTTTAATTAACTGTCGAGCACTCGTTGTTCAGCTGTTATCAGTGACTCAACAATAAGGCTCAAATTAAAGGTACACATAAAACTCTTTAAAATTGAATTTTCCTACGTAACATAATATGCCATGTTGTAAACTTGGACATGCTCTACATTACCGGTACTAGGTGATTTCCCGATTTGTTGTTTAAATAGTTCCGCCAGCCCCTTCAGCTGTTATTTCAGTTTCTTTAATTAGTCCTTAATTTTTGCACACATTTTGAAGCAAATAGAATTAAATCGAATTTTAAAAATATTTGTATTCAGATTCTATTTGTTACCTAAAAGCGATTATTTATCGATAAGATGAAGAAAAAAATTTTTTTCGATACTTAAACCATTGTAGTTATTCACTTTAATCAATAATGTTTCAGACAAAAAATCGTGACATTTTAAGCTCTCGTATAAAATGAGTCAGGATGAATAAAAATTTATTAATTGGGCAAACGCAGAAAGGGAGAAATGTTTTGTCAAGATGTACCAGTATTAGTTTGAAATAAATTGAATATAAATTTAATTAATTTCGTAAATTTCAGAGCACAGAATTACAGCGTATTTTATAGACCAGCAACAACATATTCTGAAGATAAATAAAATGTTTTAGGGAAGAGAAGGAACGCACACTTGTTTTTCCTCAAGACCCACGAATATTTCGCCTTTTTTATATATATTTAGAGGATGCGAATGTTGATTTTACTGAAACAAGTGTTATTGTTTCTGAGAAAAGTAAACAATAACTCTCGCTTTTAGGTGTTAAGAATTGTTCCTGAAACATCAATGAATACTGATATTTTTCTTAGTGAATTTGACTCTGGATTTAGGAGAATTAACTACAGGCCTGCAGGAATTAATAAACAGAGAAGGAGTATTTCATTTCCACATTATCAGACTTTTGTTATAGATCATACTGTATTAAATACGAACGAATATATTTCTGAATTTATATTCTATCAATAAGTCTCTTGATTTCGGCATTATTAGTTCAAAGGGGCTTTGTCCCCGAAGGACTACGGTTTTCGTTTTGCGATTTTGCGTTGAATCACCATTAACGGCGAATCACTTTTCAAACTTCTACCACCAAAAGTCCTACATTATATTTGAAGAAATTAAATACTGAAAAATCTGCATAAATTTATGTATATTTCTGACATAGTGATAAAACAACGGTACATAGAGCCATCGAATTTTGAATGACGTAATCCTCCTCCATATGGGCATGTGGAAGCCCAAATTTGAAATTTGGAATTGTTTTATTACCGATTTCATATTTGGTAAAACTTTAACGAAATTTTTATTAATAAACTCAAGGATTTCAAAGCGAGCAACGGCAACGTTGTCCGGAAAAATATTTTTATCTCCAGCGCGCGAGTCCCTGTATCGGAAATTCTAAAGATATGCTCATTTTAAAACTATTTTGCGATATTGCTGTTGCACTGAATTTTATGGTTTAAGTGCGAAGAACGTGATATTTAATAAATAAATGTAACATATAAAATGTTAAAAAGACGCTCCTTTGGACGAAATTTCAAATCTGAAAAGTTTCAGATTTTTATTTATTTATTTATTTATTTATTTATTTTTTTTTTTTTTTGTTTCCATTTTGAATTAAAATCTTTCTCTGTAATATTTCAAATCTTTTTCTTGAAAAACAAGAAATATGTATGCTTCTTCCTATATCGGTTTGCGTACAATATTAAGATAAATTTTCATTCTGGGAAATAAATTCTGTAACTGTTTTTGTAAAGTGAAGAGGTTGATCTATATGCACATCATGACCAGCATCGTCTATTTCGGTAAATTCAGCCCTTGGAAAAAATTGCTTTATATGGTCTTTATCCGCACCACTGAAAATATAAAAAATCAATTAATAGTAACATCTCTATGTATCTATGTATATATATATAAAATATTGAATGAACTAAAATTCATTGAAATAGACTCCCCACTGCCGATAGCGGTATTTCGGATAGTACGACTACACCACCCCTTCTGAGTAAGAAACAGAAGAGAACACATTACCAACATACCACTAGAAAGAAAGTTAATTAATTCATATTCTGGCATTTTATATTTCATGTACATTTTATATTTCTTATTACATATATTTCAATTTTTCAACTTTTATTTAATTTGTTTTTGAAAAAGATAGCATAGTTTATTTTGTTTCTTTTGTTTCTCATGTTTATTTCAATTGGTTTGAGTTCTATTTCGTAATTCCAGTTATGATTACTGTTTATTATGAAACTGTTTATTATGTTTATTATTTTTATAAAAATAGTCTTAAATTAACATGCATAAAAGCGAGGGTGTCGTGAGACATTTACTCAAGTATCTTGTAAATTTTACTACGTAATTTGGCTATTCACTCAATTTCTAAAGAATCTATTGTATTAGCTAAAATGTTTCATTCTGAATGAGTTCTTTGGTACTCTAATTTGGCTTTAGTGTCTCAAGTTTTCTAAAAACTCCAGTCAGTTAACCTAACTTAATTTGCCAGTTTGGCATCATCATTCTTACTTGAGTAAAAGACGAAACACCTTCGCATTTATTAATTATTGTTCATTGAACAGGAGTTGGTTTGTTCCCCTTGAAAAGTCAACTAATTTCCGATCAATGACGATAATTACTTTGTTTATTAAATTTAATTTTCAAAGTTTGAATTTTTGTTATTCATGATTTAAATTCAAGTCCCCTTAAAAAGGTTTTTTCAAGATTTCCCCTTAAAAAGGTTTTTTCAAGTTCCTTATAAAAAAAATTTTCGGATTAAACTTACTATTTCAGGGTTCCCTCATTTTGATACGTTCAACTAAATTTATATTAGGAGATAATATAATCAATATTTCCTTAGTAAATAAATTATATATATAAATTCAAAACAAAAGTAATTAAAAGTAAAATTAAAAGGCCTATGACTTGCGCTAAAGCTGCAAAGTAATAAACCATTAATTCATAATAATTTATAATAAAAAGCTTTCTATTTACCATCTCCAAATAACATAAATTCAATTTAAAACCATGAATGAAAAACATTTTAGTCAGAATTTTAATTAGTATTTTAAATTAGTATTTTCAGTAACTTCTGCTAAAAAATATAAAAATCTGCTAAGAAAAATGTTTAATCGCAAAAATGTCAAAACCAAAAGTAAACATTTTAAGTATTGAAAAAGTAGCTATTGTCATTGATCGCATATTAATCGACTTGTCAAGGGGATAAACCAATCTACCATCAGTTAACAACTAAATTAAGAGAGAGTATTTCATCTTACTTTCCAAGTAATTATTTGTCAGATCCAAATCATAAGTCACAATTAATACTTAATCCAAATTAAGACATTAGTGCATTTAAGCCAAAAGAATCCTGTTAAACAAAATAAATAGCAAATAATCTTAAAGTTTACAGTTAAACTGAACGGGATGCTTACTTTAGAACAGGGGCTCTCAACCGGTGGTATGCAGCTGAAAAGTACGTGGTACTCAAAGAAGCAAAGTATTTTTAACTATTAAATTCAAAACTTAAACCCCAACATCCTGATAGGGTTTTTCTCTAACAGTCGTAAACTCATGCTATCTGAGCTTTGTTCAAGAGGGGTGGTGGTAATAGTACTTTGTAGTTGTAATACTAAAGGTTTCCAATTTTTGTTTAGGTGGTATGCATTAATCAAAATGTTAAATACCGCTGCTTTAGAAGATATATATACCATACATTTTCATTTTCAAACTCAAAAGCAAAGGTATACATTTAGAACATTAAAAGGTAATTCAAAATCATAAGAAGATCAAAAATGATACATTCCTTAAAATTAAAGTTTAAAACAAATAGTTAATTAGAAATTTAAAGATCAAAATAGTAAGTTAAAATTAACTAACTTGCCATCAAAATTTTAAAACCAAATGGTTCGAAAAGCAAGTATTAAGTGATGGAAGTAAAAAGGGTTATCGTAAAGTGCAGTTTTCTATTTAAGAAAGTTTAGCCTAAATTGGCGAGAAAACAGAAATTATTCTTGGAGATAATACATATGGAAAGCTTTTTTATTATAAATTTTTATGAATTATATATATATATATAACTGTAACACATAGGTTGTTAAAAAAAACTCTGGGCTTTCTTTCTTTAAATATTGATCTTAGACGTGGACTTCTTGTCATAAAATTTCTTAACAAGTAGATGTGGACGCAAAATTTCTTAACAAAAGACAGAAAATTATACGAAAGCAGTTTTAAAGCTGACTGTGGGAGGGTTCTGTAAATAAAGACTCTCTTTCATGTGGTCCCATGCAGCATAAGTTTCAGTTAGACCGTTTCTTTCATTTCTGTTTCATAAATTAAATATGCAGCGTTTTATATCATTGCATGCAAAATTTTCGAACACATCTGAGAATGAACCACACTCAAATCCTTATTATTTGGGATTGAATTAACCGAACAGTTCTCTAAAAAAGAGATTCTGTTTTTTCTTGAGTGAAGAATACAAAGCAACAAGAAAACAAAATACCTGCTGTTAGAGACAGCAAATCGACATAAATAATTATTCTCATTGAAAATGGAGCAATGTGAGCCCGGATATGGCGGCATAAGGTGCTGAAATGTTAAGGAATCGATAAACCCTAAGACAGCTGTTCTCAATCGTTTGGCTAAGCCGTACCACCTAAACACAATTGAAAAGCTTAGCACCACCTCTACATTTTTCAATGATTATTTTTCAATCTCCCGATAGAAATATTTAAAAAAAAAATATGTTTTGTCATTTTCAAAACCTATTGGCTATTTGTATTAAATATGCACACATAAAAAATATTAGACTGAAAATTGATTATCATTTTAATTATCAAAATTTAAGTTATAATACTTTAATTCTAAAATTTAGTGTAAAATTTGGGCCTGTTTACAAGAGATCAATTTCTTTATGTTTGATCTTATTTCAATTACTTTTGATCGTAAATTAGTATCCACTTTTAATTTTGTTCTATATATATTTTTCAAACATAATATGAAAGAAAATCCTTGTTTACACAAATAGGTTGTGCAAAAAGGCAATAAAACTTTAATAGCTTTATTTGAAAATGTCTTTGAATTATTATTTTTTATTTATTTATTTATTTATTTATTTGTTTCAGCTAAAAGTTAACAGTGTGTTATTTATGAAATCTTTAGTTATAGTTCGATTACAGGAAATTTTTATCAATTGCTCTTTTTCTTCAGGATATTTCTGAATTTCATAGTTAACACTTTGTTTCTTTGCGTAGCACCTACTTTCTATTGCGTACCACCGGTTGAGAATCGCTGCTGTAGAAGAATTAATGAGATACTATTCTCTTTTTTATAGAAACTTATTTTTATTTCCTAAAGCATACAGCATCCATTTCTATCACTCCTTTTAAAAACATCATTTATGGCAAATTTTGTTATGTCTTCTGTTAAAAGAATATTTGTGAAACGACAACATGGAAGAACCACGAAAACTCCATGCAGACAGATCATTCGCCTCTTACTACAATCTATAAGCGGTTGAACCTTGATAAAAGCCCAGATCGCATAAACTTACGAGTGTTAGCAAAAAAAATCATTCAGAATGTTGGCGTTTTAATTTTGGAATTTAATAGTTAAAAATATTTTGCTTCTTTGCGTACCACCTAATTTTCTCTACGCGTACCACCTGTTGAGAACCCTTGGACTAATCTACAACGCAGAATACGGTTGCCATGGTTTTAACTAATCAGTTTTTGTTTAAAATTTGGTCTCCCTTTGCCTTTCAGTTTTGACTCAACCTGTCTAAAAATAAATAAATGTACGTTTGTACAAGCAGATCAGCGTGAGTCGAAATGTAATTATTACAGGTCGCAAAATATAAACTGATACTTCTAAATTTTTACTTATCTTAAAAGCATTTACATGAGGGCAAAACAAGAAAAGTTAGTTGAAAATTTGAGACTGTTGCAAGCTAAGAAATCAATCACCTTTATACTTCGTAAAAAGTTCTTCATGATTTTATCTTTGGGTAGGCATGAATTTATTGTTTAAATATGCAATTTTGGTATGCGCAGTGGACAGAATAAGTGCGCAGTGGACAGAACTGCCTGAAGCATCTCATCAACATGTCACTGTGTCATTGCTCAAGATGGTGGGTTATTGATGGTGATAACAGTTTAAACAGTGATACCATGCTGATAAACTGTGTAATATTCAGTAATGGCAGAAGGATAAGTTAATAGCCATATTAGATCCAAACTCAATCAGTATAGTCACCGCTGTGGAGACAGAATCAAAATGAAGAGAACACGGTAATGTGCCATTCTCTGGCATCGCCTTTACAATTTCAAAGGATGGTTTGTGACCGAAACTGGATCAAATAATCGAAAGGAAAATCTTGATATCAGAGTAACAGTTCCGTATACATCGCAGATGATACTAGCTGTGGATTACGGAGCTTCTGCTGCGTAGTACAATTCGTCGTGACATTCGCGTAGCTCTAATCTCTATATGACGAGTCACTTTTCCTTCTAAAGATATTTTCTTTATATTCGACTTAATGCTATCGCACTTCATTGAATTTCTGTCGAAAATTCGTAATTAAATCTCTAGCACACGCACATATTTTATGATCTACACATTATCTATCACAGACATGTTTTACGATCTACACATTACGTAGCACACACATATTTGTAATTTTATGCATTTTGTATTTGTTCTATTATTCAGATTTAATTGCATGCTTGTATGCGTCATTAATTTAAGAGCATTATACTCTTCATTTGTAAAAAATTACTCGATGATCATTAGTTAGTACACTGTCACAAGCCGTCAAAGGATTAAATAAAATATAGGACAGAATCGCACGAATTGCTTTTGTTTCATCGTGCACTATTACAATATGCTATTTGTCTATTCTTGCAAGCATAGAATTAGAAATTAAATTCTCAGATTTTATTGAATTTTCCTTAATGACTATTAGCCATGCAGAACATTTCAAGGTATCAGGAAAACAAATAAACAGCTTAATAAGCTTTTTTCTTTTGTTTTGTCCATTAGTCGTTAATTTGTTACACGAAAATGACAAATTGAAATTGCATTTTAAAATAAAAATACAAAACACCATTTGTTGGTCAAGAAGTAACCTTTTACTTGGATAACAAAAATCAGCAAATTTTATTAATATGTTATCCATCTATCCTTATATACTCTGTTACAAAAAAATTGAACCCAGAAGGAAATGAACTACTATCACGAAGTGTAACATGTGTGTAGTGTACAGTGGCGGCTCGTAATAAGCACTGGTGAACTGCAGCACCCCCTATTTCCACTTATTATTATTTTTAATATTCAATATAGTGTGCCCTTTAGTCTTTAATTCTTTCTTTATACTTTTGCAATACATAATCCAAGCTTAATTTCAATAGCCATCCCCCACTTTATGAAAAAGGTACGAAAGTCTTTGTTTGGAACTGCGCGCTTCACAGTTCCAGCGGCGTGGTGTTTGGCTGTTCTGCGCATGCGCACACAGAAAAGAGCACGCGAGACGGGTAGAGAGAAGAGCACTGTCGCTCTTGCAGTGCCGAAATTCTGGCATGTTGTTGGAAACGTGATTTCTTTTTACTCCGCACGTGAGGTATTCCTCCACTTCAGTGGTGGAACTTCAGTATACGGACCATAAACAGAGTTCATGAAAGTTCGCAACCTTTTAAAGAATTGCCTTACTGAAATTCAATCAAACTATTGCAAAAACAACAGGAATTTTAAAATATCTAAATGATGATAATTTCAAGTTTTGGTTACAGCTTTTTTATCAGATGCCTCATGTTGAAATAATATACAACTAAATGTAATCCAGAAAATTTAAAGTTAACGAATATATAACAAATTTCAAAACTGTTATTTTAGAATTAAGAAATTCAAAGTACTGTGAGAACTTTTCAAAAACACTGATGGCAGGAGCTAAAGAAATATGTGACTTTATACTACGTATTGATATAATGCACTGATATTCTTCCATTAAACACTTATCAGCTGCTAAATTGTTAAACAAGAAATGCTTCGCTAGTTTTAGGAATGAACATTCTACAGAAGAAAGAAGAAATAGTACTGACCACTGAAGCATATCCAATGATTGACAAAGAAAAGATTGAAACTGAACTAAACGTATACTTGCAAATTAATTGAGCTATTGAAATTTATCTTCGAAAATAATCTAGATGATGCTCTTAGTGAAATTACGAAACTGATAAAAATTCTCTTGAGAGTTCCCATAACTCCATCAGAGGCAGAAGGCTGCTTTTCAGCATTGAAAAAAATGAAATTTTCTAAGAAGCACTAGGAATTCGGAAAGACTAAATGCGCTTGCATTGCTTTCAATAAAGAAAAATTTCCTCAGTTGTCATCCAGAGATCAAGGAGAAAATTATTGATCTTTTCTCTCGCAAATTAAAACAAGAAGAATGGATATTATTTTTAAATCAATATAGAAAGATTGAATTGTAACAATTTCGGTTAAAGTAATTAAGAAATGTTTAATTTTTTCTCTCTTGTAAGATTTCATGAAATTTCAAAATAATTTTCTTTTTATACATGTTTGTTTCCTTTTAGACAATTTTAAAACAAAGGTTAATTTTTTTTGGAATAGCACCCCCAGTAATTTTAGCCACGAGCCGCCACTGGTAGTGTATGAGGAGGTAAACAAATGATTACAAATTCATAACAACATATCTTTCTATTAAGAATTTATGTCATGAAAAAGTTACAAATCAGTAAGAAGCCACCTCTGGCAGCTTTACAAGCCGAAATACGGCGTAACATCGAGTCACCTACGTCTCCCTGTCGAAGATCAAGCCATAATCTTTGCAACTGGGCAGTTAATTCAACAATATTCCAGGACGGCTGCAGTTGCCTCTTTCAAGCATGTCTTTAATGTACTCAAGCAGCAAGACGTCGACCTGGGAGACCAAGGGAGTAAGTCATATCCATGAAAACACTGCTGGAAAAGCCGCGCAGTATGTGGACGAGTGTTTTCTTGCTGATAAATTATCCCTGGGAGACTTGATAGCACAGGCAGTACAAATGCCGTTAAAATGTCGTCCACGTAACTGAGAACCGCTCTAGTGCCTTGAAAAACGGTTAGAGTTGATCGTGTGCCCGAACAAATCGCTCCCCACACTATCACAGTTTGTGTAATCGCCGTAAGTTGCTCGACAACAAATGCTGGATCGGACTGCGGACCTGGCCGCCTCCACCCACGTCTGCGTTGGCCATCAGCACTCAGACTGAATCGAGATTCACTGCTTAAGATCACACGCCTCCGGTCGGTAATACTCCAGCAACAAATCAGTAAGTGGTAGGCGTCTTAATGGACGTCGGCAGCATATACCAGTGTTGGTCGGCAGCATATACTAGAAGTCTCCGAATGGTTTCCTTTGGTACCATCGGGAAGCCTGGAAGGTTGTAAATGGCGTTGAATCGAGGCTAACGACTTTGTTGGTGTGGAAGTGGCTACTTTTATGATTGCGCGATCCTTTTTGCGCCCTCCCATTTGTGTTCTTGGGGTGCCCTGAGCCTACGCGACAATCTAGCCTTCAGTCATCTATTGTCGCCAACACCGAGCAACTGCCATATCGCTTCTACCGATTTGGTGGCCGATACGCCTGTTTGGGCAATCTGCATCTTTCCTTCGCTGGTATATTAAGAACATGGGAGCAGGCACACAGGCTGTGTGAGCCTCATCCTGGGTTGAATAAGTAGATGAAAAGCATATCGTTTTGTAGCAGCATAGTAAAAGTCCCGATGCGGAAAAATAAATTTTCCCGTTGAAAACGTTCGAAGTGATGGAGATAGGCGAAGGTAGTAGCCGATTATTGTAGTGAGTGATATCAATTATTGGTGGAATATGGCCTAGAATGGCATAAAAGGTGAGTAAAGTCGATGAGTGAAGAAATGTACTGGTACTGGAATGAGTGAAGAAATGTGCTGGTAGTAAGTCAAGAGCTCAAATGATCAAAGTGGAGTTTGAAACTGGAGTACACTCCATCGTAAGCAGAGGAGAAGAACATCAGGATTGGCTCTTAATCTTTGATGCATACTATACTCCCTTCGCGAAATCCGACTTGTTGGCACTGCTGCTGGTTACCTCTCAGAGGCATCTCTAGTAACAATACCGTCCATTCAATTCGACAGACTCGTTTGACTAGCTGTACGGCAAAAGCAATCATACCTTTAAACTCCCCCATCTGAGCATAGCATGCTTACCCTTGTCCCATTGGCGTCGAAATTTAAAATTTAATCATTTGCATATCTCTTACCAGATTACTTAGGTTTCTGCAGAATTTCATGATTACGGCTCGATTTCTTCTGGATGCATATATTTTTTGTGACAGCGTATTAGCTCAAATGTCTTTTTATATTCTTACAGTGCTCAAAATGAAAAGCAACATTTTTGTATCATAGCACAGAACTAAGATTGGGTAAATTTTATTTTTAATGAAGAATAGATCACTGTTGCTCAAACTATTTTATTGTTAAAAATATTTATAAGGAATGGTTCCAGACTTCATTGCTCATTTGAAACCAAACCAGAAATACTTACACTGATAAATGGGAAAGTGCGCCATATATGAAGTATGTTGGTCCGTTATAAACACCACTAGGTTCTTCCATCACAGTAGTTGCATTTCTCATTGCTTTCAACAATACCTTTAGGTTACGTTTGAAACCATAGCGACCATCTGGATTGAGTTTTAAATCCCCGGCGATCTGCTTATTAGCTTTTAACTTCTCTACGTCTGGCTTAAAAAAACAGATGACAAAGAGAGATATAACAGTTTTCCTGTAATCTTAGAGTAAGAAAACTATGAAAATTAATTTAATAGCACATTCCTTTATTTCTTAAATGATTATATTTTGGAGAGCTTCTAGTATGATAATTTGATGAAACAATATACTTTTATAATAATCGTGCATACTTTTCTATTCAGTTTGTAAACTATTTCAGCATATACGGAGATTAAGAAATATCTCGCAAAAATGTAAAAATAGAAAGAAGGGATCCATATATAGAGATTTTGTAACGAAATAAGTGTGCGCAAATGGCGCATTGAAGGCTTACAAGGACCTACTAAGCAATATGCAAAAAAGGTTGCTGACGTAAATGCCACTTCCCTTGCGACTGGGGATTTTTAGGGGACCCAGTCGCCAAATCCTGGGTGGGGAGTTTTTCATTTAATGGTTCTGTGTGTCTAAAGGTGCATCAATGAGGCTTTCGAAAATACTAATAAAATTTATTTATAAGAATACATAAGAAATTAAAATAACTGAAGATACAGATACATTATTAGGCATCTCTGCCTTCCACGTCCCCTTAGAATCCAGCCTGCCACTAACTATTGAAACATACACGTATCCGCCCGCCACTGGCTATTGGAACGTCACAGCGCTCTCTAGCGGAATGACGCGGGAAATATGCAACACTCCCCACCTGAACTCACTTGAGTTCACTTACCATTGATTTATAACAAAATTTACATTCAAGAACCATTTGAAATTATATAAGAAAAAGACACAAATAGAATATTACATCATTTACAAAGCATCAGAATTGTTCACAATCACTTGATATACAAAACAAATTGCATGTTTAACTTCTGAATAAACTTATTCAAATATCCAGCTTTGCATACAAGCACAATTACTATCATTAATACACAGATAGAACAACAGATAGCGATGTGATACACACACAGATAGAGATGTGAGGTTTACAACTCAATTAAACCAACACAATTAAGGATTAATTTCCAAATTATACACAAGTTGTACTGAGCGTTTTATTTCACCTTTAGGAGTTTGAATAAGAAGAGAACGAATTTTTCTGTCTCTTCCTGGATATAGCTCTAGAGTTTTCCCCATCATCCACACATTTCTGGGATAACGTTCATCATTAATAAAAACAATATCATTCATTCACTTTAAATGAAACTATTTTACCTGGTTGTGGAGAAATATAAGCTGAGCTCAGATTAAGTAAATACTCCTTTCTCCACCTGTTCCTAAAATGATTCAAAAGCGTTTGTTGATATTTATACTTCTTTACCAAAGAACTTCTATTAACATTTAAATCTTCATTATGTTTAATTACAGGTAAAGACACAAATCTTTGACCAATGAGAAAATGAGATGGGGTGAGTGAAGAGGGCTCTGAGGGTTCGTTGTACAGATACGTGATGGGCCTGGAATTAACCATGGCTTCAATTTCTTGAAAAAAAAAAAAAAAAAAAAAACAGTTTCCAATTCTTTCAAAGAAAGAGAGGTCCAACAATTTTCTTTAAGCAAGTTTTAACCGTTCGTATCTGTCTTTCCCAGAAACCTCCCCACCATGGACCTTTTTCAACTATAAAATTTAAAATTATACCATTAGAAGCAAACAAATTTTTAACTTGATAATTATCTATCTGATTCCACCAGTTTTTAAATTCACAATTTGCCTCTTTAAAAGCTTTGTAGTGGAACTTTTAAAAGCTTTGTATTGGAATCAGAATATGTAGCTGAACACAATCCTCGACGAGAAACAAATCGTCGGAATTCTAACAAAAATGAATCAGCACTTATATTAAGAACTACTTCTAAGTGAATACCTCCTGTCACTGCACAGCTGAATATAAGTCAATAACACTTTGAATTAAAATCACGAGAAAAAAATGGTCCGGCAAAATACAGACCGCATATATCAAATAGTGGATAATAGGCGGTAAAGGGGAAACCACCTGCATTCCAGGTTTCACTTTGAATCGTCTACAAATCAGAGAGTTATTTAACACTGTTTTCACAAATTGACGACCTTTTACAATTCAGAATTGTTCTCTTAAATCTATTAACTTTGTATCAACACCCAAATGGTCCATTTTAGCATGAGAATCACAGATGAGTAGCTCAACAAATTTATCATTAGATGGGAGAAGCCAAGGATATTTGGCTCTCATATCGTTACTTGAGAACTGCAAACGTCCCTTTAAACAAAGTAAGTTATTATCATCAAGTTCAGGATTCAAATTAAATATGCGTGAACTTTTATCAATAGTTCCTTTAGAAAGAAGCTGGAAAACCTCTGTACCGTAATGTTTGAATTGAGTAGCTTTGTTCTAAAAATGCAAAGCTTGCTCGAGTTCTGAAGCACATATAGGTCCATGTAGTTTTGTAGAATTAGGTTTAGAATTGAATTGTGCACAAACCTTTTAATCCATGCAGTAATACACAGTAGTCTACCTAGTTCGCTGAAGTCATTAACGTTGTAACGGCAGAGGTAAGTTTCCACCACCTGAACGGGTTACCATGGGATTAACTGGCGCTGTCCGTCGCTCATTCACTATGAAGCCTTCGTCCGGTCTAGACAACTAAACAGGGTCTAACTACCATAGAGAACTCTTAAGGATCCTCCTAGCCGATTCTCGTCTAGTAGTAAGGTCTGCAGGATTGTTGGAGCCACTAAAATGGTTCCAACACTCTGGTAGAGTCAGCGATTGCACTTGAGCCACTCTGTTGGCGACCAATGGTTTCCATTGTTTAGAAGATCCTTTCAACCAACGAAGGACGATTTGAGAAAAAAAAATTGCTTCGTGAAATCAGGAAAGAGACCTTGTAAATAATTTCCTAAACATGCAGCGAGGAGTGCTGCCATTAACTCTAATCTTGCAAGAGTGAAAGGTTTTAAAGCGACAACTTTACTTTTTGACATTATAAAGCTCACTTTAATTTGACCATTGCAATTCACGTACCTTAGGAACGCAACAACCCCATATGCCCTGGGACTGGCGTCACAAAACACATGAAGAGAAACTTCATTTATTTCTGCACTCTCAAAAAACTTTCTGTCAATAGATATTGATTCAAGTTCACGTCACTTGGCGAATCTTCGTCCCATTGTAGACCACGTTCCCACATTTCTTGCAGAAGAATTTTCACAGTGATTACAAAGGGACTGATCAGTCCACGTGGATCAAATATCTTTGAAATAACTCTCAAAACGTATCGCTTGGTGATTCTAAAATCAATGGAATCCTTAACATCTCTTAAATCTAATTTAATTTTATCCTCAATCGGATCAAACTTCAATCCCAAGAAACCTGTTCCTTGCCCGAAATCAGTATTTTCCTCACATCCGTTTTCATTCCAAAGTTTATACAATTTCGGACAATTAGTTTTTAATTTCCTCAAATGAAATCCCGCTACTTTCAATATCTCTATTGCCGTAGAAGTCAAATGACTTCTACGGTATTGTCTCTATAACGCAGATCATCTACATAAAAAAAGGAATTTAACATGTCATTACATTTTCGATGATGTTCCTTAAATTTCTTAATGTGAAATTTCAAAACGCAAGCCAAGGAAAATGGCAAAGTGGTTAGACCAAATGGGAGACGATTTAAATGAAGTGTTTCGGTTGAATAGCCTATCTCTTCGGGAAACTACAAAAATTTAAGATATTTTCTATCTTCCTTAGTTCTCTCTATCATAAGGAAAGCTTTTTCTAAATCTCCGCAAAATACAACTTGATTTTCCCGAAATTTAAGAATTATGTTCAATAAATTTGCATAAAGATGAACTCCCGATTATAAAGACTCATTTAGAGATTTATTATTTTCAGTTGCTTTACTGCTACAGTCATAAACAATTCTACCTCGAGTTGCTTCCTTGTCGTCCCTAATTACCGCTCTATGGTAATATAATATATATATATATATATATATCCTCTCATATAATATCCTGAATTTTTATCTTCATTAACACACTTTCTCACAATCTGACATTCTAATCCATCCGATATAATTTGTTTACACTTGTCATAAATTTCTTGATTTTTACTTTGTAGGGTTTATATTTATTTTAACTAACATTTATTTTAAGCTATCTTTCCTGTCAAGCCTTTACTTTCCCCTGGAATTGCCAATGCCAGAGTATGTAAATTTTAGTAGAACGCGCAGAGTATTCAAATTTTAGCAGAAGTAATTGAGTTTAAATAGAAGGGAAGCGAGATTGTAAGTGTGCTTCTTGAATCACGAGCGTGAAGGTTGCTAGGTAGAAATTTAAGAACCGCGCGTTTCGGCCTGTGTGACTACTTCGGCAGTTAGTTGAATCTTTCAACTTCTTAATCAGAAAGTTTCTTGAATCTCAGCTGTATCTTAGAACGCGGTTAAGATAGTTACAATTATAGAGCCTCGTAGATAGTGACTTCGTTAGTTATTCATCCTGTCATTCATTTTTAGTTGTACTTTTCTATTTTTGTTTAACCGCCGGGTCGGCGTAGTTTGCGAGCGTCGAGTGAACTCAACTGTGACTTCTAAAGTAAAATAAAAAGGGAGTTAAACCCTTCTTAACTCTTTCGCATCGAAATCGCCCCAAACGCCCAAACATTCAGACATCGGCTGGACGCCCGAAACGCCTGAATAATTTCCTACCCAGTGCTTTCCCCCATCACGTTACTGCATTACTCATTGCTTTCAGGTGTTGTTAAATCACGTGTCAATCATTTTTTTTGGAAGCTACTAAAAGTAGCTTCCTTGTTTCCTTTGTTCCTTCCTTTCCTTTGTTTACTGTCAGTGTTTAGCTTTTGATGCCCGAAGTTGCAATCCCGTCCCAAGGGGGAACTTCACACAGTGTCAAAGCGTCTAACAAAGTTCTCGCTTTACTTAAGTAAGGCTATTGTTAGCGCTGTAGTATTCAACTTGTCATGGGGGAAGGAAGAGCATTCCAGGAGAAATTCTTAGATACGGGCGTTTTCGATGTTTGGGGAATTG